TAGGAGGAAAATGACCCAGTGGCTGTGTGTCCTTGGCCTTGGCTCTTGCCTCTCGCATCTGCGCTGCTTTCAGAACATTCACACATGCGCATGTGCACGCGCTCAGAGGATTTTTTTCCTCCTTGAACTGACCCTGGGAAGCTGCTGAGGGTGTGCAGAGCCAATACTGAAAAGGAGGTGGACGAAAAGGGTCACACCTAGAAAAACTGGTGTTTCAGCCCTCTCGTCCTCCCCAGCTCCCAGTCAGGCACCACTAGCTCAGTGTCCTCCCGGTGGACCTTGGCTCAGACCTCCCAGGATCAGGCACCAGGGTTGTGGTTCATCCTGCAGAGGCTGGAAGGGGCCCCGGTGACCCCAACAAGTCTCTAAGCCATCCCCGCCCTGCTGACCATGGTGACTGGCTGGTGCCAGACTGTAGAGGCAGTCTCCCCCAGTAGGGTCTGCTGCACCAGGGCTTGGGCAGAGCTAACTTGAGCATGCAGTTTACCCCGAAGTCCCTGTGCTCCTCACTCCTAACTTAGGTGGCCCCCAAAGTTTCCCTTATGTCCTTCTCAAGAAGAGGGCAGAAAGCGGGATATGGTGGCCCACACTTGTAACCCCAGCGCTGGGAACAGAAGAGACTGCGCAGGCCCGGGCCCCTGGCGGGGGGAAGAGAGGCTGGCTGTCCCCTGGAGAGGTGACTGCCCCCTGCTGATGGCAGCAAGCACGCTTTCTACGTTGGGAGACTGGCTAACACTATGCTTTGCACCTGGCCTATTGGAAATAAACAGAAACGAGAAGCAGTCTCTACACTGTCCCCTCCCTCTCAACCCGCCGGGGTGTGGCTCAGTGGCAGAGGAGAGGCTGTGTGTGCCTCCTGCCGGGCCAGACCTCCACCCCACCCCCACCCCCGCTGGGCGCTGGGGAGTCCCCTCGAAGGCCACCTCCCCAGGCCCGTGTGCCTCGCCACACTGTGGCCCCTGAGTCCCCATGTCAGAAGTGCAGCTCTGCGTCCAGGTGACTCAACTCCATGTCTGCAGCACCCTGACCTTTCCCCATGAATGAGCTCCAGAGAATCCCTGGATGGAATGGGAAATGGTGTATAAAATCAAGAAGACAGACGAATGGACATGCTTAGCATGGTCTGCTGAGGAATATTACTCAGCCACGAAAGGGAATGTCGTACATGATAAGTGAAAGAAGACCAACGCTATGTGAAGCCTTGTCTGTGAAGATCCAGAGTAGGGAAGTCAGTCAAGATGGAAAGTAGGCAGCCGGTCAAGTAACTAAGCGGATTAAAGCACCTGCAAACCGACACAGGGGCCGGGTGTTCAATCTCCGGGCTTGCTGAGCCGGCCCACGCTGAGACAGCAAGTAAGACTGGGCGTGGTGGGCCGGGGAGGTGGCTCAGTGGAATAAGCGCTTCCCTGGCAAGCTCAAAGACCTGAGTTCAATCCCCAGTTCCGCAAAAAAAAAAAAAAAAAAAAAAAAAAAAAAAAAAAAGACTGGGCATGGTGGCATGCGCCGGTAATCCCAGCTCTTGGGAGGCTGTAAACAGGTGGATCACTACAAGTCTGATCTAGTAGTGAGGCCCTGAACACCCTGTAGACCCTTCCCTAAGATACAGAAAGGAAAAAGAAAATAGGACTGGGGATATAGGTAAGCAGGCATAAGTGTCTGCCTGCGCTTAGGTCCTGAGTTCGATCTCTGGAACCAAAACAAGAAAAAATAGAAAGTAGTTTACTGAATGCCAGCAGCTGGGAGAGGGAGATGGGGCCGTGGGGGGAGTTTTTGCTTGACAGATGTAGGTGCAAAAGCTCCTTTAGGAGTCCAGGCTTGGTGGCGCGCACCTGTAATCCCAGTGCCAGGGAAGATGAAACAGGAGGATCACTGTGAGTCCGAGCTGCATAGTGAGACCCTGTACCAAATACGTGAATAAAAAATATAAATAAAAAGTTTCTTTAGGGATGCGGGTTGCAGAACGCTGTACATGTACCAAAAGCTGCCACGCTGCAAATGCTCGAGTGGTGCCTTTTCTGTTACCCGTGTTTCACGACAGCAGCAATTAAATCAAGCCAGGCATGGTAGCGCATCCTAGTAATCCCAGCACTTGGGAGGCTGAGACAGGAGGATCACAAATTCCAGGAGAACCTGGGCTACATAGTGGGTTCAGGGTCATCTTGGGCCTTGAGAGTCTGTCTCAAAAACAACAACAAGAAACAATCAAATGGAATTTCTGGGGAAAAGTTTCTTTTTTCTTTTTTTGGGGGGGGGTACCAGGGATTGAAGTCAGGACCCTGCGCTTGCCAGACAAGCACCCAAAGTTTCTTAACTTTGATCAGGTTCTCATAAAGTTAAGTGGCTCTGATCTGGCCTGATACTTTCACTTGACGTGGAGGGAACGGGATGGTGCAGTGAGCACCTGGGAAAGTGACATAGCCCAGCCAGGTGGCATGCCTGCCCGACCATGCCCCCTCCGGTCCCCTCCTAGTCTGTCCTTGATCTCTCCTGGGGCCTCCGGCCAGGCAACCCTATGTGTAGGAGAGGAAAAGTCCAGAGCACACCCCCCAGAGGGGCTCCTTTCAGATCACAGGACAGCAGAGGTGCCCACCCATCTGGGACCCACATGCCCTCCCTTCAAAGATCACACTAACAACTCTCCCGCTGGCCTTGATCTTGGGAAAACCAGGTTCAAGTTCTGCTTCTTGCTAGTCAAGGTGATTTTTACGTCTTTTTTTTTTTTTTTTTTTTTTTGGTCTGTTTGAGATAGGGTCTCACTATACAGTTCAGGCTGGGCTTGAGCTCACTTTGTAGCCCAGGTTGGGCTGGTTTCGCACTCAACAATCCTCCTTCCTCAGCCTCCCAAGTGCTGGGATTATAGGATGTGCCACCATGCCTGGTTGTGTATCATTTTTTTTTTCTCTTACGAAAAAAAAAAAAAAAACTATATAAGTGAGAAAACTGGCTCACAGGGGGTCAGGGTCTGGCCCACGTGCACAGCAAGTGGCAGAGGCGTGAGGTACACTGGATCTCTGTGGCTCTAGGACCTCTCTTGGCTGGATGTGGCTGCTGAGCTGTCCTATACTACACTGAGGCTTGGTAGCGGGTTAGGGACCAGAAGTCCCTGCGCTAATGGAGCTCGCACTCTGGCAGCGAGTTTGACAGTGGACTCCCTCATACACAAACAAATCATTCCAGAGTGCATTAGGGCTCTGCAAAAACGATAAATCAGATGCATTTATGAATCTGAGATCACAAGCCGGGGGTGGCACGCTATGCCCCCAGCACTCTGGCAGGCTAAAGTAGAAAGATTGTAAGTGTGATCCCAGCCTGGGGGACTTTGCAAGAACCTGATTCAAGATTTTTAAAAAATTTTAAAAGGCTGAAGATATAGCTCAGTGGGTATGCTCTGGGTTCAATCCCTAGCATTAGTTCATTAGATATTACAGAAAGGGATAGTTTTGGTTTTTTAATTTATTTTATTTTAAAGAGAAAAAATACAATTTCAAAACAATAGGAAAGTAACAATGGTTAATACATTGCATATTAGCTTTAAATTAGTTACTCAGAGTTCAAGATATAGGCATTTAATTGTCCAAACAATATCAGCACAAATCTTTCTTTTCAATGAACTAAGAGGAACTAGTAGTATAACTATCTTGATTGTCATATTTATGTTTATATACTTTTAATTTTTATTTTTAAAAAATAAAAAATACAAATTTTTATTAAGCCACATAATAAGAATTCAACAAGGGCCAGCCAGATAGCTCAGGAGATTAAAGTACCTGCTTAGGCAAAGCACAGGGACTGGGTTCAATCCTAGCACCCCATGCAATGCTGGCCCTGTCCCTGGGGTGCACCGAAGCTGGGCATGGTGGTGCAGGCTTGTAATCCCAGCACTTGGGAGGCTGAAAACAGGAGGATCACTATGAGTCCGATCTATGTAGTGAGACCCTGTACTAAATACATTAAAAAAAAAAAAAAAAAACAATGATTGCTGTATTGTATGGTTGTCTTCAAATTGGTTGTTTAGGTTACCAGATATAAACCTGCAAAATTGGTTTTAAAAAAAAACTTACAAAAAGAAAATTATAAAAAATTAAAAAGAAATTTTAAAATATTGAAGCATTAACTGCCCCTTTCAATAAACCACCAGTACAATTACCCAAGCTATTTTACATATTTTTTTTTCCTGTTTTTTTTTTTTTTTCTTTTGGCAGAACCGGGGATTGAACTCAAGCCCTTGTGCTTGCCACAGAAGCACTTGTTCTACTGAGCCATCTCCCTGACCTCTATTTTTTCCTCTTCTTTCCTTTTCATCCCAGTTTTTCCTTCCCATTGAACAAATTCTTCCCCTTTCGCAGTATCTATTGTACTTTTCAGATTTTATTTACTTTTTGTTCTTTTCCCATCTTTCTTTTCCTCTTTTCCCCATCCCAGTTTCTCTTTCCTTTGGAACAGCTTCTCCCCATTTCATAATATCTATGGTACATTTTGGATTTTATTTATTCTTTCAGCTTCTTACACTAGGGAGACACTACGATGTTTGCACATGTGTATCTGGTTTATTTCCACTTATGAATATGTTTCCTTTTTGTTTGTTTTGAGACAGGATCTCACTATGCAGTTCAGGCTGGCCCTGGACCCACTATGTAGCCCAGGCTGGCCTCAAACTCCAGGTGATCCTCCTGCGTGGACCTCCTGAGTACAGGGATCACAGGTGTGCGTCACCACACCCAGCTAGAAGAGGAACTTTAAAGTAGGGACTCTAGGTTACCACCTCCTGTGAAGCGTGGCTGGTCTAGGGAGGGATCGAGGGGTCCTGAACCGAGCAGGGTCCCGCCCCAGCCTGCCTGGAAGATGACGTCACGGTGTCCCTCCTGTGACGTTGGCGGGAGTCACTCCCCGGCCTAGCAAGGGAGGAGCCGGAGATGTCGACGACGACGAGGAAGGTGTCCAACAAGGCCTCTCCGCCAAAGCAGGCGGGTGAGTGCACCGCCTGCGCGCTGCTGGTTGCTAGGGACGCCCAGCGGTCGCTGGGGGCGGGGCCACGGGCCGAGCCGGGTGTGAGGTCCGGTGGCTGCAGGGGTAGGGCGGCACCATGAAGTCCTCCAAGAAGGACTCTCGCTCTCGAGTCCCTGCTAACAGGGTCTTGGAGCCTACCGAGAACATCAAAGGTGGGCGCCGGCTGTCTTGGGTGTTCAAGAGAACCTGGAGGGAGGAAGTACTTAGCATGGGGCTCAGGACTCAGGCCTGGAGGACCTGAGTAACTCTAGGGACACGGGAGTCAAGTCCCTGGGAGCAGGGGGTGATGGTACACACCTTTCATGCCAGCACTGGGGAGCTAAAGCTGGAGGATAGTAAGTTCTAGCCCAGTTTGGGCGATTTAGTTGAGACCTCGTCCCCAAAATGGGTTGCGGCAATAGTTCAGGGTGAAGGCCCTGAGTTCAGTCCTCAGTACCAGGAAAAAAAAAATCACTGGGAAATGAGGTTCCGGACACAGGAGCCTTAAGGACCATGGAGGGACAAGGCAGAGGCCCTCGATGGGAGGAAGTGCCGCCCATGTGCTCGGCCTTGGAGCTGCGCATAGAGCAGGTCCAGGACTGAGGGTGCGTGGGGGGGGGGGCTTCAGGCATCAGTGGCCGGGGAGATGACTTTGGGCACCTCTATCCTTATCTTAGGTGGCTTTCAGGAAGCAGGGTCTGTGGGCTGTGTGAGGTACCTAACAGCCTCCCGGAAATCAGGTCCTGGGAGGAGGAATTGGGGTAAGGGTGCACGAAACTGAGTGACACTGGTGAACCCAGACACCTGGATGGTCGGGGCAGGGGGATCCTCTTGGAGTCCTGCTAGGAGAACCCAGGAGAAATTCCGAAGCTGGCCAGTCCTGCCTGGGACTGCCTTTTCCTATCACGTGCCCTTTAATAGGACACTTGTCTGGCTTGTTTGACCTGGAAAGTCACTAGACATACCTGCTTTCTGAGAGCCACAGACTGACTGACCCGTGGGACAAGTTCCCACTGCAATTTGCTCTCTTTGGACCCCACCCTCAGGGCCCAGTCCCGGGCGCATGCTCTGCCACCCAGTGGTGCTGCCAGCCCTGTTTCTGACTAGGGAGCTACCTCTCACCCTGGCATGGTGCAGCATCCCAAGGGCATCTTAGCTACTGACTTCATTTCTTTCTTTCTTTTTCTTTTGGCGGACCCAGGGATTGAACTCAGGCCCTTGCGCTTGCCAGGGAAGCGCTTATTCCACTGAGCCATCTTCCGACCCCTGACTTCATTTCTGAGACACAGTAGGGGACACCTTCCACTTAAAGGAAGAGGAGAGGGTCATTTCAGCTCACACGGCAGTCCATGGTTTACTGGCTCCAAGGCAGGACAGCGAGCTTGGTTGCAGGGCCTGGCCAAGGGTTGCTGCTCCCTTCATGGTAAACAGGAAGCAGGGGATGAGGCAGGAAGCAGGGCGGAGATAAACCCTTCTAGGAACACCCTTTAGCCACCTGCGGTCTCCCCATCAGACCCCACCTGGGAGCTGCTTTAACACACCCATCAGCCACTGACCTTACAAACAGGAGCCTTTGTATCCCTGAACCCTGAAGAGAGCTACCAGGGTTACCTGTGTGGCCTAGCCCAGCAGAAGCTCTGGGTCTATGCAGACCTGGAGAATTGAACCCAGATCAATGTGGGTGAGAGAGTGGTGTAGGTGCTGTTGGGGATTTGGGGGTTCCCAGCACCTACCCAGGCCTGGAGTGGTAGAGTTAGGGAAGAGGGGATTTCTGAAAAAGCTGCTCTTTATGGCAGAGAAAGAAGAGAAAGAGGAGGGAGAAAAAGAAGCCAGAGAAAGAATAAAATGAAAGGGGCAAGGAGGGTGCTTCTGTAGAGGTTCTTGGACCCATGAGCCAGAGAGCTCAGGGGCACCGCAGTTAGGCAGGTCAGGGGCCTGGAACCCTGCAGGCCCTGCAGCCCCAGCCTCAGCTGTTCAGCTGAAACTCAGGGTGTGTGGAGGAGGCCAGGCTTGGAGTCAGCGGGGTTCCCTGTGAGGCCCGGAAAACTGGCAAGAGCCTGTGGCGTTTGCTGTGGCTTTTTTTTTTTTTTTTTTTTTAAATGCTTCTTCACAGTGCAAAAGGCTGGCGCTGTTTCTTGACATAGTTTTCAATAGTTAAGAGAGAGGGGAGGAAAAAACTAACCTGGCTTGCTTACCAAGGACGGTCAAGGGCTTTTCCAGCCTCTGCTCCTGCGCACCTCATTTCTGTGTGATCCTAATCAGATTTGAACTTTCTGCTGTAAACAAATCAAGGGAAGATTTTTCAATGTGTATTTACTTTTAATAAGGGTAAGATTAAACAGCCCTGGGGTTAAGAACATGCCCCAAAGTGAGGCAGGTGAAAGTGAAGCCCTTCTCCTGAACGTCCTTAGGGAAGCCCACAACACAGTTGAATGCAGGCCTCTTGTAGTCTTGTGCTCGGAACAGAAAAGGAAAGCAAATTCAGCTACCAGTGGGGCATGGTGGTGCACGCCTGTAATCCCAGCACTCGGGAGGCTGAGGCAGGAGGATCTCTGCAAGTTCAAGACCAGTCTGGGCTACATAGCAAGACCTTGTCTCAAAATGGAAAGAAAAAAAGATTTGGGTACTTTGAGAAGCAGTACAGGAAACTAGAATAGGCTTTTAAAGCCTGGAGGCCAGGGCTTAGATTTTCTTGCTATTGTTTTGTACCATTTGGAACCAGAGGTCACAGCCAGCAAAGGAGATGCACGCTGCCCAGTGAAGCCCCCATAGGACAGGTAGGGTGCCTGTCTGCCGCCACCTGGTGTGCCCCAAGCCCGGCTCATTGCAGTTGAGGGGGCCATGCGGGTTGGGCCGCTCCTCCCCTCCAGCCTCCAATGCTGTTGTCATCTGTTCCTTCCTTACAGTGCAGCCCCACCCCAGCCCATCCTGTGCCAGGTCCCTTCCTGCAAGGAGAAGGCCGGAGGCCTTCACCTGACCATGGCCCAGCAAGCTCTGCATAGTGTAGCTTCTAGCTTCTGTCCCCAGACGCCCCAGCTCCAGGGACTGCATGGAGCTCGGGCCTGCGAGGCCTGCTCTGCCTCAGCGCCATCTCCAGCCTGATATGGCTTAACCACCCTCCTCCCACATGGCTTAAACATCGATTCCTTAGAAGCCTTCCCTATTCTCTCTGTAGTTGAGGCTGGGAACCCTGGCTGTCCAGAGGGTCACCGGCTTAGACCCCTGGGTGCCCTTTTGTAGACTGAGATCCTGCTCTGTGTCCCCAGAACATAGCATCGTGCCTGATAGGCCAGCATTAGTAAATAAAATAGCATTAAACAAATGGTCTATGGGAATGTGCTATTTCCCACAGAGCGTCTGTCTTTAGCCAGTGTGAGAAGGAGCTCCATGCATTGACCCTGAACCAAAGTCCCAGCCCCAGAAGAGGCCAAGGAGGGGCTGGTGAGATGGCTCAGTGGTCTAAAGCACCTACTTGGAACAAGCTTGGCAAAGCACAGGGACCGCGGTTCAATCCCCCAGCACCACATGCCAGCCAGCCCCGCCCCCTGGTGGGCTGAGCTGGCCACACACACACACACACACAATAAATAAATTAATTAATTAAAAAAGAAAAAAGAAGAGGCCAAGGAAACGTCTTGTCCAGTTATCCCAAACCACTGCGCACCAGGATTTAAGTTTTGTTTTGTTTTTCTAATGGCTTTTTTTTTGTACTGGGAATTGAACACAGGACCTTGCGCTTGCCAGGCAGGCGGTTATGCCACTGAGCTACCTCCCCAGCCCCTTGTTTTGTTTTTCTTAAACAGTGTCTCATTATATATTCCAGGCTGGCCTTGAACCCACTGTGTAGCCCAGGCTGGCCTGAACTTGCAGGGATCCTCCTGCCTCAGCTTCCTAAGGGCTGGGGTTTCAGGCATGTGCTGCTACGGATTTAATTTTGTAAACTCAAGGGAGTGAGGCTTGACTTCCACACAGTGGCCAGGGAGCTATAGTCGCACGACTCCAGAAGATGCTGAGACAGACATTAAGCTGATATTTGGGGAACCTGGAAGTAGCTCAACTTCCAGGTTCTTGTTTAAGAATGGGAGATGGAGGCCCAGAGAGGTTGTCTTGCTTTTCCGGGCCGTCCAGCATATAAATTGTCTGCAGGGCAGCCTCTTTGGATCTCAGTTCCGATGACAGATGCCTCAGTCATTGTGTGGGTCCAGGGACAATGGGTAGGGGACCCTCAAGAGAGACCTCCATAGCCCAGCAAGGCACCACCCAGATCCCTGTCAGGTTGTCCGAGCAGCCAACTCTGCCCTGCTATCCACTCTAATATGAGTTATCCACTAATTAATTAATTAATGAAGACAGAGTCTTATCATACAGCTCAGGCCAGCCTTGATCCTCCTGCCTCAGCCTTCCAAGTGCTGGGATAGCAGGCACGTACCACCACGTGTGGCCTTGTCCTCTTATGTTTATGTTTCTATACACAGGGACTTTTCTTAGATAAAAACTGGCAGTTCTATGTTGTTTTGTTTTTAATTTTTCAGAAAAGAAGCGGGCAAAGATACCTGAGCAGCCCACGCCCCCCATTCAGGAAGAGCCTGAGCCGGTCAGCAACATACTACAGGGAGACGACATTCTCGCCTTGGCCATTAAGCAGGAGGACTTGAAGAAGGTGAGCTTGGACCCAGGCTTCCTGGGCCGTCAGCCACAGCCCCCGTCTCTCTGGTGGTTCCTGGGCACCCGCTAGCATCGGTGTCTGTAGAGAAACCCCAGCTCTTTCCACGTTCCACGTCATGGCCCTGTTTCTTTTCACATTTCTGGGATCCCAGCAGAGTCATGGGAGATAGTGGGGCCTCTTGCTTCCCAGAGAGGCAAGCGCCGTCATTCCCATTATCGAGATGAGGTGAGGAGCACTGGTGTCTCTGGAAATTGAACCCACGGCCTTTTCACGGAACAGCATCCCAGCTTTTCTTTCTTTTTTTTTTTTTTTTAATATTTATTTAGAGATAGGGTCTTGCTGAATCACTAATCTACCCAGACGGGGCTCATAATGGCAGTCCTCCTGCCTCAGCCTCCCAGAATGTGGAGATTACAGGCACGTGCCAACACGGCCAGCTGAAAAGGGGGTTTAAGCAACCAAGGTGCACGTGTGGCTCAAACTGAGCTCTAACCCTCTGCTTGACCTGCCAGACACGTCCTGCCTGAGCTCCTCCGAGGCTGCCGCTGCTATTTTTTTCTCCGCAGGATGCACCTACATCTCGTGTGTGGCCCACAGTCGTTTCCTGGAGGGAACATATGGGCCGAGCTGCGGAAGCAGCCACGCCAGCCTGCAGGGATCCCAGCAGGAGCTGGCGCAAAGGAGAGGGGCCCTCCTCCTCCTCTTCCTCCTCCTCCTCCACTTTGCAGGTGCAATTCCTCTCCGTCTTCTTTTTAGCAACACATCCCTCACCGTACTGAAGACAGCCCTACCATTACCCGCAAAGTTTTCATCCGTAAACTCAAACCCAAGGATTCTCAGAGGAAGATCCGCCGCTTGGTAGCCCATCCTGCACACCCAGAGGCGACCGAGAGGCCCCTGGACTACTCGGGTAGGGCTGGTCTTCATGGGAAGCTGCCCTGGTCAGCAGTTTACATCTCTACCTGCAGTTCTTCTTTCCCCGCCTCTCTTTTCCCTCCAGGTCCCAGTGACAGCTTCGATGGCCGGAGCCAGATCCTGCCTCACCACATCCTGGGGACTCTCCAGGACTTCAAGAGAATTGCAGTTACTCAAGGGAACCCCCAGGTTCGTTTGTACAGAGCTTCCTGGTGAGGGCATTTTTTCCACCCCCTGTGGAGTCAAGTAGGGTCACACAGGAGAGGAAGATGGCTTCTCGGTGGTCCCCAGGTGGCTCTCCCATCATGCAGTGCTTCTCTGTCCTCAAAGCCTTCTCTTCCTTGGTGTCAGGGTGCCTGGGTGGCATAGAAGTGACTCAGTCAACCTGGCAAGGTGCCACTTAACATCAGTTGTGAGGCAGAGTCGACACTTGCGAAGATGCTCACTGAAATCTCAGAATCATTGTCCCCCGATCCTGCAGTTTATTGTCACCTGCAGGTCCACAAAATGATTTCAGTGGAGCAGGACACTGGGGATCCAGGCCTGGCTGGGGTTGGGCTCAGAGCTCCCCCTGCCCAGCACCTGCCTGTGCTTTCCAGCTGGCTGAGCTGATCCGCACCCCGCCCAGCCTCACAACCCTCATCTCAGCAACTGAGGAGCCAATGCCAAAGGCCCCAAAGGAGAGGCAGCAGCTCCCCCAGGCCTCTCCTCCGGAGCACAACTTCCTGAAACACTGGCAGTGGCACATGGCCCTGCGGAAGAAGCAGCAGACAGCCCTCAGTGGTGAGCGTTGCCCGGGGGCTGCCGCCTGTCCTCCATCTGTCACAGAGACTCTGTTGGGTCATTTTCTGTCCCCCACCTAGCCTCTGTGCGCCACTGGGTATATAATCACAGCATTGTGGGAGGCTGAGGCAGGAAGACCCCAAGTTCGACCCAGCCTGGGCAATTTTAACTGGCACTTGGGATTCCAGATCCTTTGCTAGTCCCTTAGTGACTTAGGGAGCCCCTGTCTCAAAAATCAAAGAATAAGAAAAGGAATGGAGGTGGAGCTCAGTGCAGTGGAAATGTCCCATGTTTGATCCCCAGTACCAAAAACCAAAAAGCCAAATGCCCACTTTGGTGCTGCAGGCGGGGCGCCAGGGCCCTGGGGCCCACTTGGCTGAGTGACTGTGCCCTCGCCCCTTGCTCCCCAGAGCACCTGCAGAAGCCGATCGGTGAGCTGCTGATGCACTCAGGTGAGACCTACAGACAGATCCAGGAGGAGCGAGAGCGCATCGACCGCTGGCTGCCAACCCGGCACGATGGCAAGGTGAGCACGGCCATCCTGAGTGCCCTGGTGGGGCGGGGGCCGGGCAGGTATGCGGACACACAGGTGGCTGCCCACGCCGCGCAGCTGGCGAGGAGCCAGCTCTCCTGTGCAAAGCACTGTGAACCGCTCCCGGCCTTCATGGAGCTCAACTGTTGCGTGTCTGGAGGAGGGCTCCCTCTAATAGTAGTCTGGGTGGTCATGGTGGTTGAGTGAATACCTAGCGACTGCCACAGCTGTGGTGTAGTCTGTGGTGTGGTGTGGACCCCTGAAGGGTTAGCCTTCAGCCTTTGGGCTCACTGAAGCTCTGAGCTTTGTCCTTGAGCGACAGCAAGCGCCTGGGCCTGCCCACATCATCCTTCTGGGTCAGTAAAGGCCACAGCAGGCATCCTAGAGAGCAGGACATACGGCCATCGGGCAGCCATGAACCCGATCCCCACCCACCAGGGCTGTAGCCTTGGCTGCTCTTGGCTTCATATCTCCCACCCGCAGTGCCCTGTGGCTGCACAAACCTCCCTCTCCATCCCCCTTACCAGGACTACAAGGAGACCAGTGCATTCTGGAGCCCCCTGGAATACTTGGGAGATGAGATGACTGGTTTGCTCATTACCAAGACCAAAACTCAGCGTGGCCTGGTGGAACCCATCACCCGTGTCAGGAAGCCCTGTTCCATCCAGGCAGAGATGGGTGAGAGACAGGGCTGGAACCCATCTGGCTTCGTTGCCCGCCCGGGGACCAGGCAGAGTACTGGGCATCAGCTTGGTGTGTTTGGACTAAATCCTGGCTCTCTCTGATCCTGAGCAAAGTCACAGAGCCTTCCTGAGCTCCAGCTGTGCTTTAGCAAAAAGGCAACAGCAAAGGCCAAAAAGCAGCCTCGGGCTGTGCACAGCTGTTGAACACCTGGAATGTGGTTGGTCCGCATGCCGGCAGTGCAGACTGCACCTGGGTTTCAAAGCCTAGTTTGGAGAAATGTAATAAGTTTTTTATCAGTTCCACGTGGCCACGGCAATCATTCTTCTATACTGAGTTAAATAAACCATATGAAGAGAATCGCACCTCTTGTTACCTTTCCAGGATAGCACCTAGAAAGTTGGTGATGACACATGTGGCTTGCCTGCGTGGTTTGCATTATGCTGCGCGTGGGCAGCCCGACTTTAGAGCTGCCAGCTGCCTGGGTTCACCTCCCCGTATGTTGGGTTTCTGAATACCACTGAGCCCTGAATTCCACTCCCTGGGCTCGTGGTTCCTCATCTGGAGACTCCACGGAGGGCTGAGGAGTTCTGTGGAAGGCTGAGGAGTTAAATGAGACGTGATATTTATGGAGGCATTCAGGCTCAGTAAAACACCCAATAGGCAGCTGCCCAGCCCTGGGAGAGGCTGAGACAGGAGGATCACAAGTTAGCATTCCACTTGGGTGATTTAGTGAGACTCTGTCTAAGAATAAAAAAAATGAAAAGGGCTGGGGATAGAACTCAGTGATGCTCTACCCCTGGATTTATACTTCAGTAATGAAAAAAAAAATGTGGCTGCTATCATCGCTTTTTTTTTTTTTCCCCCGGAACTGGGGATTGAACTCAGGCCCTTGCACTTGCCAAGGAAGTGCTTATTCTACTGAGCCATCTCCCCAGCCCCATCATTGTTTTTAATTGCAGCCCAAAGACTTGGTATTTGGAAGCTAGTTTTGTCGGAGTCCTGTGTAGGGCTTCTGAGCATGTAGAGGGAGGACAGTGTTCAGAGGCCTCTCAAGGCTGTATTTGCATCCTTGTTGGAGACAGTGGTTGCTGACAGCGTCCTTGGGTCAGTGGGTGGGAGGAGCATGGCAGCCCCTGGTGCTGAGGCCGTTGGCCACCCGCCAGGATTACCAGCCCCGAAGGATGCTGGGTACCGCTGCACCTGGGACCGGAGTCTCTTCCTGATCCAGCGGCGCCAGGAGCTGCAGAGCCTGATGGCTGGGCTGGACTTCAGCCAGCAGGTTAGCAGTGCCTCTGTGATCTGGGCTGGGGGTCCTCAGGGCCGTGCCTGCCTTCGGTCCACTCACCTGCCCTCTCTGTGTCCCTCTGAGGATATTGATGGCCTGGAGGTGGTGGGCCGAGGTCAGCCCTTCTCGTCCCTCTCCGTGGAGGACAGTGCGGCATTTGAAAGGAGCCAGGAGTGCACCTCGGAAGACACAGCCTGCCAGTGAGTGGGGAGACAGCAGCCCTAGAGTGCGAAGAGCAGGTTTTCCTCCCTGCAGTTGGTAGAGCTGGACCTGGGTCTAGATTTCTCGGCCTCATGTCTGTGGGCTCCATGCACGTGGCCTGATTGTGCCACCTCCAGAAACCCAAGTCGTCGGTTTCTCTTACAGAGACTTCTGGGCTGGTCGCGGTGACGCAGCCCCCATGCCGGTTCTCGGCCCTTCCCTGTTGTTCTGTGGGAAGCCAGCTTGCTGGATCCGAGCCCGCAACCCCCAGGACACGGTAAAGCCACCTCCACTGCCACCCCTTGGGGGCAGGGCTAGGGGTGGCAGCCCAGGGTGACCTCGGCTGTCACAAGAAGCCAGCCCGGTCTCCCACTTGCATTTTTATCTGGTCATACATTTGGTGCATCTGAAAATGGCAACAGCAACACTACCTTGAACAGGAATGAAATCACACTTAAAAGAGCGTGTCACATGCTATCCAGTTTGTACCTGGTCCCCAAGCAGGTAGCTAAGCAAACTCTCACCCAGAGAGGGCCTTCAGAGGCTCAAAAATAGTCCTCAAATGCTGAGGAGCGGAAATGTGTGTTTCTTTCCTTACTATTGATAGTAACCTCAGACAAGGCACTGTTGGGGGCGGAGGGGTGACACCATTCAGAGGGTGGCCAGGCTCTGGCAGCAGGGAAACATGAGGCTTTTAGTGCTAATGCAGAGAAGTCACAAGCAAACGGGGATGAGTTGACACCTTCCGGCCGGGACCATTCTCGTACCCTCTCCCTGCCCAGAGCCAGGTTGGAATCGGAGTGCGCTTGACCTTCGAAACCCTAGAAGGGGAGAAGACATCCTCAGAACTGACTGTGGGCAATAACGGCACCGTGGCCATTTGGCACGACTGGCGGCGGCGACCCCAGCCGGACTCTTTCCAGGACTTGAAGAGAACCAGGACGCAGCGGTTCTACTTCAACAACCGGGAAGGTACAAAGAGGCCCCCTTCGGTTCCAGCATCTGGAAGGCACCACCATTTAGTTGGTGCCTGGCTCCCAGAGCCTGAGCTAGAGCCACCCTGTCCCCCAGTTCTTCTGTGGTCTTGTTACCAGGCAGGGTCCCAGAGGCCCCCGAAACGGATGTGGGGAGCCCACTTCCCTCATCCCACCATGGGATAGGTTGAAAGTTTGCTGGCTTTCATCACATAAAAGGAATTTTCAGGATGTTTCAGGAAGAAGCAAAGGGCCAGCCAAATAGCTCAGCGGATTAAAGCACCTGCAAGCAGGCACAGGGGCCAGGGTTCGATCCCCCTGGCTTGCCATGCCAGTCCTTCCCCCCGGGGTGCCCTGAGACAGCAGTTGAGACTGGACATGGTGACACGTGCCTGTAATCCCACCTCTTGAGAGGCTGTAAACAGGAGAATCACTAGGAGTCCGGTCTAGTAGTGAGACCCTGAACTCCCTGTAGACCCTTCCCTAAAATATATATTAAAAAAAAGAAGAAACAGAAAGGATTTATTAGACTTTTAAAGGGCCAAGCAGATAGCTCAGCAGACTGAAGCACCTGCTTAGGCAGAGCAGAGGGACTTGGGTTTGATCCCCAACTGGCCGTGCTGGCCCTGCCCCTGGGGGCACATTGGGACAGAGACTGAGACTGGGCATGGTGGTGCGCGCCTGTAATCCCAGTACTTGGGAGGCTAAAAACAGGAGGATCACTACGAGTCCAATCTACATAATGAAACCCTATAGGCCACTGTACTAAATACATTAAAATAATAGTAAAAATAAAAGAATTTTAAAAGCACACACTGGAAGAACTAGAGCATCAGGTGGTGAGAGGGGCACATAATTTGTTGAGCCTGGAAACATTTGTGTTTCTCTTGAGGGGGTGCACAATTATGAAAAAGATGGATCAGCCCCCAGCAGGATAATTAGTCCAGTTTTGTTTTTTAAGGTGGATAATTTTAACAATCTCTGAATTCTCTTAGTCTGTTCCTTTCCTTAAGGTCATATTCCCATGCTCTACTTTCTCAACTAAGCTAAATGATGGGGACTTACAGACGGTACCCTTAAGGACTTTGGGGTGTGTGGAATGAGGGTGGAACTGAGGGGTATCTATAGGGACAGTCTTGGGTAGATGTGGCTGTGTCTTGTGACTTGTGGTCTTCTTAAAAGTACAAGAGTTTTTTGGTTGTCTTTTTTTTTTTTTTTTTGAGACAGTGTCTCAATATGTAACCCAGGCTGGCCTTGAACTCACCGTGTAGTCCAGGTCAGCCCTGGATGTGTGATGATCCTCCTGCTTCAGCCTCCTAATGCTGGAATTATAGGTGTCCACCACCTGGCCTGGCGAAAATGCAATTTCTAAGTTACGATTTTCCTCATTTCCTTTCCACTTGTCTTGTCTTCTGCTGTTCTACCTCAGTCTACATGCTTGTGTCTGGTCAGAGAATGAGGTCCACCTGGGGACAGAGGCTGGTATGTGAGTGTTCTGGGGCACCGTCACCTGCACTGCACAGGCCTGCGGTGAGGATGGCCACGTGTCCCCGTTCGCCCGGCACACACCAGCTTTAGCACTTGAAGTCGCCCATCCCAGCAAACTTGTCAGTCCTGGGCAAACCAGGGCAGTTGGTCTCCAGACCTGGGCAGCAGTTAGATGGAGCGGGGGTGGGGCTGGCTGACTGTTACGTGCAGGCTCAGGGCTCTGCTGGCTCTCCCTAACCGCTATCTCTGGCCTTCTCAGGTGTGATCCTGCCTGGAGAAACCAAAACCTTTACCTTCTTCTTCAAGTCTTTGAATGCTGGGATCTTCAGGGAGTCCTGGGAGTTCCGAACCCACCCCACCCTCCTGGGTGGTGCCCTCCTGCTGGTCACCCTGCAGGCAGTGTCCCTGACTGAGGACATTTTCAGGGATGAGAGGAAGTTGCTGGAGGTAAGGGACCCAGGGCTTCGGCCCTTGGGAATGCAGGGTAGGTTACCCTGGTGTGCTTCTTAGCAGTGCCTGTGGGGTCTTATTTTTTCCCTGCCCAGGGGTGTGAAATTTTCACGAATAGGCAACCGAGGTTGTTTAATAAATACTCCCGGGGCTGGGGGATGAGCAGATGGGTTGGGCAGGTGGGGAGGGCAGCCGGCAGCCCCATCCGGCAGGGCCCCCACTGAGCTGGAAAGGAAGGTACCCAAGTCCTTCGATTCAGGTGGCAGGGACCTGCAGACCAAACAGATCACGTGACCCCTGGCTGTATTGTGTTTCCTGCCGACCGCTGCTGTGCAGCGGAGGGACATTTCACCAAAGAGACTTCCTAACCAGTGAGGACAGTTTAATAGCCTGTCTCTGCACCCTGCCGACCCCGTGGCCATCACACGTGGTCCTTTGCAGGATTCTGCAGAGGGCTGTGTAGCTTTGTTTGCTGAGGCCCCAGACATAGCCAGTTATCTCACAGCCGGGGTGATCAAAGGCGGTTCTGACAAACATAAGGCTCCCTGAACTCACTGACTGTAGGGCTGATGCTGCACAAAATGTCCTTCCACTAGGTTTCTGTGGCACTGCCTGCATGGCCAAGCCAAGTGAGAGGCCACCGCTGTCCTCAATGGTGCCCAAATGGTGCTCCCTGCCCCCTCCTTTTGGGCGGCACTGCTAATGTGTGACCTCCAGGTCCCATTCCCAAACCACTGTCCTTGGGCACCCAAAGGCTTTTGAGTCTTGGAAGAGGTTGTGTGTGTGTGTGTGTGTGTGTGTGTGTGTGTGTGTGTCTGTCCCCATGGAGGCACAAGGCTTCCAGGGTCTGGCTCCCCTCGAGGACCCAGGTGCTGGGAGCTGGGATGCCATCATGTGCTGCTTTCCCTCCCCCAGAGAAAGCTGGCTGCCCACGAGTCGGTCACCGGCGTGCGCAGTGTGCTGCAGGAGCTGCTGAGGGGGATCATGACCCCGGAGCGCGCGCTGTCCCCTGTGGACGCTTACCTGATAGAGGAGGACTTGTTCCACCATAGGAACCCTGGGGTACAGGCTCTGCACCGTGCATGCCTCTTCCCCCAGCAGCCCTACAGGATCGGGATGCTGTTTACACCCTCGTGTTACCCCGCAGACACCAAGACTCAGAGAGGCTGATGGTCGTAGCCGAGACAGTAGAGGCCTGGTGGGGGTGAATGGCACAGACTCCTTCAACCACAGCCTTTTGTTCTTTCAGATTTTATTTTATTTTAGTGACAGGGTCTTCCTGTGTAGTTCAGGCTGGTCTCAAACTCGTGGCAATCTTCCTGCCTCAGCCTCCTGTATACTGGCATTACAGGCAGGCACCATCATACCCAGCAAAGTGCAGCCTTTCTTGGCAGCCTCAATGCAAAAGCAGCTTTCGTTGGAGAGTCTCTGGTTGAAGGGAAAGTGGGGAGCCCCCCCCGATTCCCTCAGCCTGGTTCAGGGCCTGCCATATGCGGGAAGTGGGAGCTGGCTGCCATGGCTGGGCATATGAGGCTAGCTGTCCCTCACCGTTGTCTCCTGCTTCTGCTGCAGCTGCGTTACCAGCACCAGGTTGTGCAAGGCCTGCACCAGCTGTGGCATCAGTATATGATCCTGCCTCTTAAGGACAGGGAGCCTCGGCCCAGCCAGGAAGAGCCCCTGAGTGCCCGGACCCTATCAGCCTCTGCGGAGAAGGCCCCGGCGACTCCTGAGCTCTTCAGTAGTCCGATCCCAGAGTTCCAGTTGCCCGGGAGGGAGAGCAAGGCCCACAAGGACTCCCGAGATCCCGCCCTGTCGCAGAAGTCTGTGGCAAGGACCAAGGGTGTCCTGCGCAAGAGCATCATGGAGGAGATTCTGGTGGAGAGCCCGGACTTGGAGCGTGTCAGAAGCCGCTCGGAGCCCGATGGCTTCTCCTTGCCCGAGTGGAACCTCTGCCTGGGGGACTTCAGAAAGGTGCCCCTGGGGCCTGGAGGGGACTGGTGGGTAGCCGGGTGCAGTGCTCTGAGTGACAGAGGGTGTTCCAGCAGCCCCCTGTGCAGGGACTTAACCTCCCGGGGGCCCAGAGAAAGCGATCTTTTAGGTCACATCTTTTTTCTGGGTTCCCAGGCACAGGTATCTGGCACCTACGGCACAGAAAGAGTGCTCTCTGGAAAAGAAGGGTTGATGGGGACAGAAATAAGGGAGGTGCCAGGCCCCACAGAAGGTGTCCCAGACAAACCCCATGGCTGCCAGCTCCTGGTCCTGCACCCCCAGTCCTGTATTACCACACCCATCACTAGGGGACATGGAACCTTTAGAACCCTGCGGCAGAGCAGTTGCCCATGGTGCCCGTGACCCTCACCAGGCCATGAAGACACTCCCTGAGGAGCCCGAGAGAGAGGATGCGCTTATCAGGCTCAACAGGGGGGCCCTGGAGCTGTGTCCCGAGCAGAGGCTGCTGCCACCCTACCACCTGTACCAGCTGAGGTAGGTGCCCCCCTCCCCAAGCCCCAGCTTCCCTTCTGTGTCGTCAGCCTTCACACTGCATGGCCAGGACTCACAGGCTTGGGGGCCTGTTGCGAGACCCAGCCCTTCTAGTAGGGCAGGCTCTATGTCCAGCCGTGGCTCCGTGCAGGTATCTGAGGCCTGCCTGAGACCGTGAGCCCAGGCCTGGGTCATCTTTTCTTGGAAAACTGGACTCACCTGGGGAGAATGCTGGCTGGTGGTGTTTCCGTGGGAGTTACCTGGCCCTAGGGACTGGGGCTCTGCGGGTTCAAGGGCAAATGAGGAAAGACGGCTTTTCCTGCAAGGTTCGCCCTCTAGTTTACTACAGCTGTGGCGAGATGCGATCGACAACCTGATGATCCATTCCCTGTGGCTGCGGGCCCTGCTGGGCCTCCCGAAGAAGGAGACTGTCTACACGCTTGCCCTGGAAGAGCAAGGTCAGAGCCAGGGCAGCCGCGCCTTGGTGTCGGCTTTCCCAGCCCCCTGCCCTGACAGCTGTGAGGTCTTCTCCGTTTTTACCCTGTGGTGGGTGCCCTACTAGGGGAAGCCCGTGGACCCAGCACCCTCCTATCTGCTACCAAGACTTGGGACCTGAAGCTACCCTAGCCACCCTCTTACCCCATTTGTCTTGCAGGTGGAGTCCCAGAGAATTTAAGGGATTTTTCCGTGTTGTAGCCATGCACAGGGAATTCTCTATCTCTCTGTCTCTTTCTGTCTTTCTGTCTCTGTCTGTCTGTGTTTGTCTGTCTGTCTGTCTGTCTCTCTCTCCTGTTTTTGAGACAGGGTCTCACTGCTATGTAGTTCAGACTGGCCTTGAAACCAGCCTGTAGTCCAGGCTAGCGTGGAACCCAGTCTCTTTTTTTTTTTAAATTTTTTTTATTTATTTATTTATTTGTGTGTGTGTGTGTGTGTGGCCAGCTCAGCCCACCAGGGGGCGGGGCTGGCTGGCTGGCATGTGGTGCTGGGGGATTGAACCGCGGTCCCTGTGTTTTGCTTAGCTTGTTCTAAGTAGGTACTTTAGACCACTGAGCCATCTCACCAGCCCCCCCCCCCTTTTTTTGAGTGTTTCGCTGTATAGTGCAGGCCAGCCTTGAGCTCATGCTGATATTTTGCTTCAGCCTCTTGGGGTGCTGAGATCACCCTGTGCACCGCTAGGCCAACAGGAGTCAGGGTCCAGGGCCTCACACCTGCTAGGCAAATGCTCTTCCACTGTCTAGATCTTCAACCCAGAAGTTTTTTTTTCTTTACAGTAGATTTATGAGTATTAATTCACATACCATCCAATTGGAGTATTTAAAGTGGACAATCCAGTCAGGTATGGTGATGTGCATCTGTGATCCCAGAGCTCTGGGAGGGAGAGGCAAGAGGATCACAGGTTTGAGCCCAGCCTAGCAACTTAGCAAAAACTGTCTCAAAATATGAAAGTTTAGATGTAGCTAGTGGTAGAACACCCCTGGTTCAACCCCCAGTACAGCAAATAAGTAAATGAATAAATAAATGAACTGTACAGTCTGATCCCGTCTGGTGGTCTTCAGGTATTCCCAGGATTATTTGTGGGGATATAGGGTGTGGGATGGTGCACAGCAGCCCTGGGCCCTCCCTACTCGGTGCCAGGAGCACCACCCAGTCATGACCATCAAAACTGCCTCCCAGGGGGTAGGGAGATGGCTCAGTAGAATAAGTGCTTTCCTGGCAAGTGCAAGGGCCTGAGTTCAATCCCCGGTTCCACCAAAAACAAAACAAAAACTGCCTCCCAATACATCCTCTGAGGGATCGATCTCTAGCTGAGAATGTCAGCTAAAGCCAGAGGCCTGAGGCCTGGTCCTGGCTGGGTCTTTCTCTCCCTCAAGGAAATCTTACTCCTCTGTCCATACAAAGGCAGTGGATTGTCTCCCAGCCCCTGCCTCCTGTGCACACATTCAGGCTCTGCCCTTCAAACCCTTCACAGATTTGTATTTCTTGCTGCTTGGGAATGTGTCAAAACAGAGGTACAATCCCTGCCTGGGAATCAGGGGGAAGGCTGGGGACTGTGCAAGTGACAGTTCAGCTGGGCTGTCCCAGGCAGGCAGCTATGGCTTGGGTAGGCGGGAGAGGGTGGGAAAAGATCTTCTGGACAGAAGGAATACCGGAGGGAGCAGCCCGGGCGCACCCAGCTTGGCAGGAAGGCCAGTAATGAGTTCCATATGTCCGTTTCCACAGAAGCCCTGGTCACGCCTGTCCCTGCTTGCCGAATCCAAGAACTGGATGGGAGACCCAGGGATCAGCACCACCCTGCTCCGTGGCTTGGCAGCCAGGGACCTGGGTTTGCCAACACCAGAGATCTGCCTGGTTCTGAAGGGAGTGCTCCCAAGTTGAGGGGTACCTAGAGAGGTGTCCTGCTGCTGCTCCATTCAGGATTTGCTCCCCGAGAGGGAATGCACGGAAATATGCTGTCAGTGTGGCGGCACCCCTCTTCCTCGCCCTCTGCCTCTCCTTTTTTCCCTTTTGGATTTTCCTTTTTTTTTTTTTTGGTATTTTTGAGACAGGGTCTCAGTATGCAGTCCAAGTAGGTCTTGAACTCACTATGTAGCTCAGGCTGGCCTCGAACTCACTTCAATCCTCCTGCTTCGGCCTCCAGAGTGCTGGGATTACAGGTGTGTGCCACTAGGCCTGGCTTTCTTCTGGTGTTTTGAGACAAATTTGCTCTATGTTCAGATGGGCCTTGAACAGGTGCGTTTTCTCTCTCTCTCTCTCTCTCTCTCTCTCTCTCTCTCTCTCTCTCTCTCTCTTTCTCTCT